GGGATTGGTGAGTGACTTTCTAACTACTGATTAATGAATCAAGTAAAGGTGTTAGTCCAATATGGGTCCGCAATCCAATCGTTGATGGGCGCTGTTCGGTTTGGTGGGGACGCCATGTGCTACTCAGCTAAGCTTGTACAGGCCATCTTGTGAAGGCCTGTAAATTCCTGTGACCGAAGTGGCTCGCTCGAGCGCTTTTGTAGCCTCCATACTCTACAGGTCTGATCAAAGTGGGACCTGTTAGCTAACATTAACCAATGAAAGGAAGTAGCGAGTATGCAGAATGCCCCTCCAAGCTGAGCAGCGCAGTTAATCTTAGTATGATGCTGTCTAGGAGCCTCATTGTAATCTGAACATGAAAGCACGTAAAAGAGGCGCCAAAAAATTTCACTGCAAACAACTCAAACGAATCCAAAAGTTCTTACACTTTTGGATTCTTTTGCATCTTTTGAGTTTTTTGCAATAAAATTTTTTGGCACTCTTTTAAGTGTCTCTTGTTCAGCTCAGTTAATGTTAAATGCTATCTTTTGAGGTCGGTGCTGGTACGAATAATGCTCGTCTAGTAGCAATGCTTCGATCGCTGGCCAGCTACCACCACAAAGAACAGGTAAAAGAATACTCAGTTGCGGTGATACTCTAAGAAATTGACTCAACTGTGTTATCACGCTAATGTTTCAGGTTTCTTTAATGTTGGTACGACTTTCACAAGGTCTTACGCATCTTGGGAAAGGTACAATGACGTTGAATCCATGGCATTCTGACCGGCAATTGCTGTGCCCGAGCGCCATTGCAGCACTTCTTACGATCTGCTTTGCATTCTTGGATGCTAATAACTCTGTGAGATAACTTGATTTCTTTCTTTTTTAAATTGTTATTTAAACTTCCTAATTTGATTCCTTTAGGTGTTAAACAACCGACAGCATTACTTGCTGTACACCCTCGTGCTTGCTATGCAACCACGAATGCTCGTTACATTATGTGTAGACGACAAGAAGCCGGGTCAACTAAAACAGGTAAGTTTTCGAAGACGATTCTATTGATTTATTCCTAATTTCGCAAGCGATATGTTGTGTTAAGCTTGGCAACCGGAGAATTTATTAACTACATTTTCCTATCGATTAACAGCTGCGTGCTGTAGTTGCAAGGAACACAAAATACTTCTATACTCTATAATACTAAATACTAGGGCTTCCTAATATCCCATTGTACAAAAACCAACAGCTACAGGAGTAACTAAGAAGTCTCCGAAATGTTTTCGGATTCTTCGGTGCACACCTTCCTCAGCGGCTCAGAGTCATACTCAGGAGGGAGGCTTGAATGTGCTCCAAGCAACTCACTTAGGTCGCCTGTTATTATTGTGTATCTGTCCTGTAGGTCCGAGATTTTTGAAACATATTAGCTTTTTAGTTCCTTTCAAAGGCCCGTCCCACGTTCAAAAAGGGTGAGTTGTGCGGCTCAAAAACTGATGGCAAGTAAAAAATTTGCTAAATAACATAAGAAGGAAGAGTAAAGCACCAGAAACCCGCAAGAATTGCCCGTGTGGAACCTTTGCTGAACGCGCTTGTACGTGCTCAAGGCGAAGAAGGAGCGTGGTCGGACGAATTCTCACTTGTTGGTGCCAGCTCTTTCTCCTTATCATCTCACTCTCACCTCTCAAAAGTGGAAGAGTTAGCAGCCGAATAACCGCACTATCAGGTAGCAGCTAAAAATGAAAGATGGGCGTCGCTGTGGCCAGTGGGCGGGGTCGGTTCCATCGCGGGAGGGCGTCGCTTTCTTCACATATTTGAAGCTGCGAAAGTAGTATGTTCTCCATGGTTACAAACAGGATTGCTTTGAAGAGGGCGTTTGAACATCGAATGAATGCGGAGCGTGCCTTTAAGATGGACCATTGCATTTCCAAAACCTATGCGAATTTTTTTAAGCCAAAGTCATTAGCAAAGTTAGTTGTTACAGGTCGGTGTAACGGTACGAGTGGGTCAAGCCGTCGATGTTGTAGCTCAAGCGGGTAAACCGAAGACAATCACGGGCTTCCAAACAACACACGACGCCGTTCTTCTGGCCTATGGCGAGCGAGCCGAGTTAGCAAATGAAGAATGTAAGTATTCAGTCACGTACTTTTTGGGCGCAGGTGTAGCAGTGTCTGCCTACTCTTAAGAGTTAGTTCGTCCAGAGGCACGCTAATGATTAGGAAACATGTATATATCATCTTAAAAAGCATGCATTTCATTAGCTGTTCTCTTACGTCATCGACACGTCATCTACCTCTTGAGAGATAAAAGAACGTGATCGCGTAACTGCGCTACGCTATCAGCGCCATAGCTTGTCCTTACACTTCTGATAGTTTCATTTTCAGATGATAGCGAATGACGCACGATTGGAGCAAGTTTTGCGTATATTAAAGAAGAATTCCAATATTTACACACCGGTAGCAGGCCAAAAAAATAATTTCCATATATGTTTTGTCATTTTGCTCGACTCTGTGCATATAATTATGGAATTGTGATGTACTATTATCACGAACATTAATTCCTCTATCACTGTAGTACTGTGTGAAATGTGTTTCACTGAGGAAAGCAGCAATGATCACAGTGCTATTTAATAATTTATATTTATTGATCCAAATGTCTCGTAACTAACTGTATACGGCTCTTTGTTTTGCTGAAATCTCCACTACGGTGTTACTGGTGTGCAGTGCGCGTCAGTTGATTCTCGACATGTTTGCTGAGGTTTTGATAAATATTCTAAAATATTGTTCTGTAGTTCAGATAATATAGATGGTTCCCTGAGCTTCATTGTATTGTAATACACAAGAACCAAGTACCTTTCCTTCTGTAGTTGATAAACTGCGTTAGGCTTAACAGGAGTGAGGAACAGTACTCACCCTCCCACGCCTTAGTCTCTCCTCACGATAAATATTGCCACTGAACCACCTTAGTCTTACTGCACCAAAGGGTCTAATCCCATGTTTTCGGCACCCATCCTAGTTAATACTCTAAGGACTCCCGGGCACCATCACTGTAGGAGCTCCGCGAACTGCTCGTTTTATGCCAGCATAGCGATATCATGACCCTTTACTCACTAATTCAGAGTTCTGTTATGCGCCAATTCCAATGTAAATACCGATCAAAAGTGAAAGCAAAACATGGGGCAAAACCGGACTTGTGACAGGAAACAGACTTTGAGTATTGGTCTGCAGGATAACCAGGTAAGCGTCCGAACTGCCACTTATGAAGGACAGGGCCCCCATTACTTACTATGAAACTACAAAGTGCTTTAGTACGGGGACTGTATCAGATTACAGGTTCATGACTCTATCTGAATGTGTGTAGCGGTTTTTGAATACAAAAGAGTTTAGGCTATACATATTTATTATAATAACATCAAAGAGAAAGGCAGAGAATATGGACGGGCGTGATGAGGACGGTCGGGGGAGGACCGTCACATCGTGAGTACTCACTACCACTGGCGGTCCTCTCGTCTTCCAGTCGCCTTGCGCCAGCTTCCTGCGATACCGTAATCTCGGGCCACGCCCATCCAGGTCGTGGACCCGACAACTGCCTTCAGAGA